TATTATTATATGGTTATGGTTATAACCCCTCACCCACCCAACCCCCAAATTTAAAATCTTTTAGAGTCTTTGTTTTGTGTTGTTGTTGCTGGCAGGTTGTTTTGTTCTTTTGTTATTTTGTTGTGTTTTTTGTGGGTGGGGGTTGCATGACGTCACAATGACCCCAATGTGACTTCAACGTGAGTGGAGACCCTTGGTATGTCAAGTTAGTCAAGTAAGTTCAAAATGGGGATAGGGGTGGGCTCAATTTGACTTTTTACTAATGGCTCAGCTGGCTGCTGTTACATGTGCTTAGTTAACTTCGACCTTCACGAATGAACTGAAATATTAGGCAAATGATAATGACACTCTTTGATCATCTAGCAATTAGAAATGTCTTTATCTTTTTAGTTTGCAATTACAGTGGTATTACAAAAGATAAGTGTTTGTTTTTGGTGTTTTGCGACGCTCACAACTGCATTACGTTTTATGAGCTCGTAGGACACATTAAACATTTTCAGTTTGGTGGGAATTAATTTTGATTTTTGCCCGGGTGGCTGCTGAAGCCTACTCTTATCGATTTAGAACCACAAAAAGATCTTTAACGTGTGCAACGGGCACATGTGACCTTTGAGAGTTGTCACCCTTATCCGAGAAGGCAAGATGTTAGATCTTTCGTTATCTAAAACCAGGGGTGTGACTGACCGACAGCAAAAGTAAAAGGAAGAAGCCAAGGAGTAGTAGTAGAAAAGCTGCAGAAAGAGGAGGGGGAAATGGGCGGGTAGGGGGACAGAAAGAGGAGACTAAATAATACGATAGAACATGGTTAGAAAGCAGGAAAGGAGGGGGGGGGGGGAGAAAATTTCAGAAAAGGAAATTTCCCGTCGCAGTCAGGTTTCGAACCAAGGACCTATTGAAGGAGGGGCGAACATCGTAACCTTTAAACCACGAGAGCACTCCAAAGGTTATGTGTACTTACACATACACATAACTCATCATCCGGTGCCTTGCCGACTGGCGTGGGCGATCATGGACTTCCACTTCACTCTGTTTTGCGTTGCAGCAATGGTGTCTGTTGTTCTTGCTGCTCCTAGCCATGTTGTCATCTTGTCCAGTATCTTTTCCCTCTGTCTGCCTCTGCTTCTCTTTCCATCAAACTTGACTGTAGTTACAATATTCCCCAATGCTTCTTTCCGCATTGTCTGTCCGAAGAAATTTGCCTGTCACTTTCTTATATTCGCCATAAGCTGTCTTCTACAATTTACTTCAAACAAGACCAAGACCAAGACCACACATAACTAGAAAGTGTTTAGATACTTCGTGCTAAAACACTCCTGCTCCATAAACATTTCCTCTGTCTGCCTTTCTGTCTGTCTGTCTGTCTGTGTCTGTCTGTTTCTCTGTCTCTCTCTTTGACTCTCTCACTCACTCTGTCTGTCTGTCTGTCTCCCTCTGTCTGTCTGTCTGTCTGTCTGTCTGTCTGTCTGTCTGTCTGTCTGTCTCTCTCTCTCTCTCTGTCTCTCTCTCTCTCTCTCTCTCTCTCTCTCTCTCTCTCTCTCTCTCTCTCTCATATGTAGCACCGTGTGCTCAGTAATCTCACTGCAGTTGGTATGAATGAATTTCTATAAATTTATCTGTCTGTTGTTTTGTTTTGTTTTGAATGAGCCGTTTACTGCGTGTCAACAATTGAAATTCCTATCTCAGTGGGTGGCTATGGTCAAACGGCATTATTTCCACCTTTTTTTAAAGAATGTTTGGCTTGTACATAAATTCAAAGTTATTTAGGACTCTAGCAGCAGTTTTTGAAGTATTTTTGATCAACTTTTATATTATTAATTTTGATAATGTACTGTTTTCCCAGATTGTTACCATAATGTAGAAAGATTTATCAAAATTGCAAAGCTTATTGCAAAGGTTTAGAATGGGTGTTTTCATATTGAAAGACATAATCCTTACAAATGAACAATCTCTGATTTATCCTACAACTTGACTTTACCTAATAGGCTCATCGCCGTTGGAAACAAAATACTTGAGTTCGATCTCCACTCGTGGACGTCTATTTAATCGAGAGGCTGTGCATTTCTACTTAAGTGTAATATCCCAAGTTGGGCTGATTCTGTAAGGCATGGGCAAAGCAGTGTTTTCCTTAAACGGTCCATATTGTGTTAGAAAAGGCGGAAAAGCCTCATAGCCACAACAAAAATACATTGAAGTTCAGAATTCGAATCCTTAGATGGAATACAGTCTCCTTTCACATCTCCAAAAGTTGTTCTCTTCAGCTGATGAGATTACTAAGTCCTCTGCCCGATAATACGAGATCTCTTGTGTCTTATTGGTAGTTTAGATCTCTTGTGTCTTATTGGTAGTTTAGATCTCTTGTGTCTTATTGGTAGTAAGGTCTTTGTTGCAGAGGTTATTGTTTCAATTGTTGTTGATGTCTATGTTGGTTTTGTTGCTCATGCTTTTATTGATATTGCTGTTGCTATAGTTGTTCATGAGGTTGTTGATATTGTTGTTGCCGCTATTGTTGTTGTTGTTGTTGTTTTTTCTTGTTTTTGTTGCTGTTGTTGATATCATTGCTGCCATTGATGTTGTAGTTATAGAAGTTTTTTTCTGTTTCTAATAACAATAGTGTACTTCTAAGACGCAAGAATATAACTGCATATCACAATGACATGATCATTCAATAATTTTGTTTATTCCTATCGGGTGAATTGTATAAAGATACGAAAGTAGATTTTGAAAGCATAGCTACAATCATCAAAAAATAATAACAACAATAATAAAATAAAAATAACAGTTTAAAGGACAGAGACAAAAAAAAACTATTTTCTGCAAAAAAACGTAACAATATTGGCTATATAGGACACCAAGTAATTAAACTGTTGTGACCACAGGAAAGAGTTGGACGTCGTCTTTGTTCTTATCCAACAACAACGGATGAGTCGAAGCTCTCCTTGCAGTATGAGGGCAGCTCGAAAGCGCTCTCGTCGACTGAAGCTCTAAAGTTAGTCAGAATACTGTGGACGATAGAAAGAATGAAATGTTAAGAACTGATTTTCCTTTTATTTATTTTTTAATTAGTTTTTGCGCTCTGCAATATTGTATCAAATAAAATGCAAGATTTCATTTCAGATGTTTGCATTAGCTTTGTTCTATACAATATATAAGTCAAATAGTTGAGAACGATAAATAGAAATAAATAAATTCATTTTAGATTTTTGAACTTGTTTTGGCGCTATACAATATAGTATCAAATAAAAGGCATGATTTTATTTCAGATGTTTGCATTAATTTTGTACTGTATCGACAGACAGACAGACAGACAGACAGACAGACAGACAGACAGACAGACAGACAGACACGGATAAGCAAAAAATGACTAAAAAATAGCGAGATGTATCCATTTTCTTAGGTTAGGTCTGAATCGTATTCCTTACTCCGGGGTATACAGTGGTGTCCAAAAGAAACTTGAAAATGTAATCACCCAATCATCGTGTTAAAGCCCTGCACTACCCACTCATGCTGCATACCAGTTTAAAGCTAAAAAAAATTATGCATCATCTTACACATTAATATTTCATCTATGTTTACAGACACCCAAGATGTCAACAGATGTGGTCACTCAAAATTGACCTTAAAATATCAGGCTTGGCACAATTGTGCGAAATCAAAGAAACGTGAAAGTGTGAGTTCATGCTTGTATTTAATTGAGGTGCATTGATATTGGTGGAATGGACATGTATCGAATATCAAATGGAAAGAGAATATTATTGTCTCTGCAATGAACAGCATAATATTCTGATGATATTTTCAAACGTTTTGGAAAACAAGAGTAGTCACAAATACCTTGCAAAACCTGGACTTAACATTGCATGTGCTCTTTGCTATTTTGTTTAAAAGCCATTGGTTTCGTGTGGAGCACGAAACCTATTTTGCACATGGACTGTGTTAGTTAGATTTTGGGCTTTAACGTCTGTTATTGGGGAACAGATAGTCAAGAAATTGCCACTGTTTTGGGTGGTCTGGGGTGGAATGAACAAAACCACCCTCGTGTGAATCACCGGATGGCTTGGTTTAGTGGACTTACGTCACGCAATGCTGGAACGTCATGTCTTACATTTTCGTCATGGTGTCATTTAAGTAGACATCTCTACGCATAGCAAAGTATTTTTCCACAGGGCCAATGCATTTGGACAAGTCTTGAGAAACCAGGTCATATCAACGTTGGGGTGGTCACCAGGAAATAGCCATGAAACCTACAGGTATGTGATGTACCATGAAATAGAAGCTGAAGAAAAGCAACTTTGCTCCCAATTCAAACCTTTTATTTGCATCTCTCTGTAACATTTGGGATGAAATGACAGACAATTATGTCCAAAATAAAAAAATAGAGTTGATGCCCAGCGAGTCCATGCTGACCAGACCATCAATGATTTATTTATAGAGGCACCAGCCATCCATGTCCAGGTGCTGTTTTAGCCTCTCGCGAGTCCATGCTCTACACAAAACCAGTGGCTCCTAAGCAAAATATCAATGAGCACATAAGGTTAAGTCAAAGTCTTGCGTGGTATTTGAGATTACTCTGTTTTCATCTTTGTTGAAAACTATCGTAATAAAACATTGTTTATTTCAGAGACAAAATTCTCCATTCGTTAGATATGCAATGTATGTCAATTCTATTAATATTGATGCTCCCCAATACACTCGCGAAGACAATTTCACGTTTCTTTGATTTCTCACAATTTGCCAAGCCTGATTTTTCTAAAGGCCAGTTTTGAGTGATCATATCTCGGTCGTCTCTTAACATAAAAGAAATATTAATGTGTAAGATGATGCACAATTTATTTAGCTTTACATTGGTATGCTGCATGAACGGGAACTGCAAGGCTTTAACACAATGATTGGGTGATTACATTTTAAAGTTTCTTTTGGACGCCATATAACACACACACACACACACACACACACACACACACACACACACACACACACA